ACTGCTATGTTTATAGAAAAAAGGGTTAAACCTAGCTGGACCTGGCACCCAGACCACTTCATTAAGCTGAAGTGGTCTGGGTGCCTATAGTGGTCCTTTAATTATACAGTGGGGAGATGACAATGGCATGTTAAAAAAAAAAAAAAAACATGTCAGGAAAATAAAATCACAAAATGAGCGCTGATAAGGTGCAAAATCCTTATATAGGCTTTTCCATGCTATGTTAGCTATTGCAAAATTTTACATGCTTTTCAATATGAATAAGCATGCTCTGAGTGGTTGGCTTACTAGCCATCAAGTGGGAGAGAACTCTTGGTCATATTGCAAAGCATATTGTGATAGCTAACATAGTGTGAGAAAGCCTATAGAAGACTGTTATCAGCGCTTATTCTTGTGAGGAAACCCTATGACCCAACATGCAGTGTCTAAGTAAAACACAGGCAAAATCAAACTCTTGTGAAATATGCATATTACCGGACCTTAGTGTTGCCAGATGTAAATAGAATGGTCATAGACAAGCCATGGTCAGGGGTATGGAATGCGACAAGTACAAGAAGACAGGCCAATAAGTCAACAAATACAGGAAGAAGAATGATCAATAACAACCCACGGTCAGAATACCCAAAATAGAGAATTACAATAAACGCACTCTCCAATTACCAGTAAATGAAAACCACTACAGGGCACAGAAGAAAATCTAAAATGGGTTTAAGATGGCAGGGATTGTTCAGAATCACCATTTAGACCACACAATGTGCGCATCGATTAAGCGTCACACATGTTCACGTCAAATATGTCAGCAAAGAAGGAGAGCTATAAAGGGGCTCCATCGCAAGGCGGCCGCCATCACTCAGAATGATACGTGGATATGGGACCGTATGGCAGACGGACTAGATCGGCATCTGCCATGCCATTGTTTACCCCTATTGTATAATTATATAGAGTCCCCACCTGCTGCTCATGGGTGGAGGCTGGGGTGGGGTGACACTGGGTTCTCCCCTTCATTATAAATATCACTGGCGAGAGTAAAGATCTTCCTGTCTTTACTTGTAATATTAGGAACGCCATCGTTGGTGGGGGCTGGTGGAAACTCTAGGTCCTTCCCCATGAATATTAGAGTAGCGCTGGCCAGCCGCAACTAATTAACCCTTGCACCACCGAGGTTTAAAAAACAAAAATTTAAGCCAAATGAATGATAATTTTGAGAATATGCATCCTTCCAGGTGCATTCAGCTTATCTTCAGTGCCAGGCTGTAGTTGATAAATGTACAATTCCTGTGCTTTATATTTGTTTACAAACAGATATTACTGATTTTCTGACGAATTATGCAGGTTTGTTCAGACTGACCTAATCGCATTTGGCTTTAGTAAATCTACAAAATGCCAATGTGGTTGGAATTCGCCCATTTTTCACCTTTTAGACAAAAGCCATTGTTTAGTAAATAACCGTGTGTCGAGAGCTATGGCTTCATACAGAGACAATTATCTCACTCCCATAGTGCCAGACAGTTGGTGGGTACATAGGTAAAAAACATGCATTATTTTATCGTTATCTTTTGAAAAGATAGAGGGGTAGACTGCACAAAGACGATGAGATCCGTGGAAAAGGGGATTCAAGAGAAGTATAGCAGGATAGAGGTATGGAACACAGTGGAGAAAAGAGGACAATTGAGAGAGTGGAAGAAATGAAGGGAGCAATGAAATCAAGTAGGGCGTACAAAGCAGAAGAGGATAAAAGATTTAGTGGTTTGAACCAAGGAAAAGGACAGCTGTGGAGTGTAAAAGCAGTGGCGTGGGGAGATTGACAAAATATATACAGATATGTAATATAGTATGGTTACCGACTATGCAGTAAATACTGTGACTTTTATTTAGAAACATTTAAAAAAACAAAATTCATGGTACCTGAATACTTTTTGCACCATAATTATTAAAATAAGTGTTAGCGGTTATGGTACTTAAATAACATTGAAGAAGCTTAGTGTTTGAAGCCATAATGTGTGTTTTTAGCCCTGAATTGCCCTCTAGTGGTAAATGGGTGAAATGTTTATTTTCTGAGGTTTTGATGATCGTTATTTATTTTTTAATGGTTTTACTTTTATTTTGTTTTGGTCTTTCCATGCATTTCACTTGCATGTAGAAGTGATCTATAATAATAATAATGTAGATGTTATTAACATCAAAGCTGTAAATTTAAAATGTAGGATTTATTTTAACCGTTTTGTCACTATATTAATTTTATTCTAAATCTCTTTCATTATTGCATTGCAGTTCTATTCCTCCTCCCGCTTTCTGTGTGTGTGTTGAGCCTAGTCGCTCATTTCCATGAATTATAAGCCTCGATGATAGGCTGATAGGACACATTTAGTGATGCATAGGAATGACGTGTTTACCATGGGGCACAGATATGTCACATCTACTGTACTGTTCTCTACACACCATCTGTGGAAGCAATCAGAAGTAACTGGGTGTATTCAATACACGCCAATAGTCCTAGAACCAGTAAGACAGTCTTGATTTGGGAAGTTGTGCCATCTCTCTTTTTTAAGGTGACTAATTTCTGGAGACAACAGAGACTAAAGCTCAGTGAGGAAGGCTTATGAAACAAGCTCTCAATGTTCAATGCCAGTACAGAGCCCTGCTTCCCATATGAGTGTTAAAATAGCAATCTTTGTATGGGAAACTCTGGATTTCTGGCTGATATATCCCCTTTTTAACTGCCAAGTGTGACCAGTGATGTACATTGAAGTGAACCACTCAAGCACTGAGCCTCCAGTCCCCTCTGCTGATTGTATCTATTCTATGCTAACTGTGACTGATTTGGAGGGGACACTGCTAATTCTGGAATTCGGTCTTGCGTTCGCAAACTGTTTCTCTGCGGTCTTTATAAATCACAGTGAAAGGATATTTCAGAGAATTCTGTCCATGTTCTAGTAATGCTATGCTGTGTGCAAGGCCACTCATAGCTCAGTGACACAAGGATTCCTTCCTGTTTAGTGCCCATGCACCACCATCTCTTTTTCTGACATGTACTCATAATCTGTGGGCCAAGTGGCACTTTAAGTTATTTGCAATCCTTTATGTAGGCAGCTGTGGGGCTTCCATGTAGTACAGCTAGGGACAGAGTGTGTTTTAATCACTTGTCTATTTGTAGCAGGATTCAAAGGTCTGATTACAAGTTACCTTGTGAAAGTGTCTCAGATATCCAGTTCTCCAAGGTTATATGGGGCTGTGTTACCTGTAGAAAGAGGGACTGACCCTAGAGTCTCAGGAGATATTGTGTCAGTATTGGTATCCATGATGCCCCGGTTACTAGATCTCTTGGCTCAATTTTATTTATTTTGAACTTTGACTTATGTTTCAACACTCATCATCCTCAAGCACACACTACCACTAGGAATGGGGTAGCAACTAGCCATTGCATTAATTTGTTTTGTTCTACTTTTTTTATTGTTCATATGCTACCTGCTTATAAGCCCACATGGATCAAATGAAAAGCTACTGGCAGTGATATCATTGTCACAGTGTGTTTTCCAGTTCTAATTTGTTAAAGGACCACTCTAGGCACCCAGACCACTTCAGCTTAATGAGGTGGTCTGGGTGCCAGGTCCAGCTAGGGTTAACCCATTTTTATATAAACATAGCAGTTTCAGAGAAACTGCTATGTTTATGAATGGGTTAAGCCTTCCCCTATTTCCTCTAGCGGCTGTCTCATTGACAGCCGCTAGAGGCGCTTGCGTGCTTCTCATTGTGATTTTCATAGTGAGAGCACGCCAGCGTCCATAGGAAAGCATTATGAATGGGGGCACCCTCAGGGCACTATAGTGCCAGGAAAACGAGTATGTTTTCCTGGCACTATAGTGGTCCTTTAAGGCAGCATTGACTGTCATTGGTTCTTAAAGGGGAAATATCACATTCTTATAGGTTACCGTTCTTCATGATAAACTTTTCTGCATGAAATGGGTTATAGCAGCTGTCATATTGAATATTCTTACAATTATAAAGCAATGAAGGCTCTGATTCAGAGGTCACAAAGTTGATCAGTGCCCAAAAAGCCCTAAGATTACTCTCCCTAAATGGGGAATAACCCACGAAAATAACAATATATAGAAAGGAAGAAATGGGACTAGAAAGTCCTGGGCAGGAGAGTAATAGAATCCTAAGGGAAGACAGAGTAAAATAGGACAGGAACAAATAGGGAGACTGAGGCGATAAGAGGAATGGGTAGTTACACATCCAAAAACCAAAATCACTTTCCAGCTCAGAAAAACTGCCTGACAGGTCCTCTAACTGGGATACAAGTCTAGGCTGCGTGTGTTCTAAGCCTCATGGATAGAATAAACAGGTAGACAGAGGTACAATAACGAAAAACTGGGCTAAAATGAAGAGGTGAAAAGACCTCTATAGGGGGATAACCACCCATAACTACACCCAGACAGGAACCACTGGTAATAGTTTGCTGTCTCTATTTACCTCGGCACTGTGGAGAGCCACTAGTGCCTACCCGAACCCTTCTCCCTGCTTGTCCTAGTAGCTAAAATAATTAAATTAAATTAAATCAATCCATAAGTGCTACCAAAAAATAAAATAAATGATAAAGGGGGTGGAGCCTGGCACTCAGGCTGAGCGGCTGTGCTACACTTCAGCTCCTGCTACTTATTGAACTTTATGGGGGTAAACCCCAAAAAACACGGCACAGTCACACACCAGAGACGAGAAATCATGTCGGGGATACCCGGGAGAATAGACCGACACCAAATTCAAGATTATACCACACCGGGAACCCTGAGGCCTACCAGAGATCGAGCGCCGGGGAGACGGCCGCTTCCCGCGCTGACTGACCTGGTCGGGTATACCTCGGGGGCATCACCTCCTACCCCCCCCTGGACCGATGGGGGTCATATCGGTCCACAACAAGCGACGGGAGAGGTGGCTACAGGCTGAGCCTACAACATGGGGCAACACAGCAACAGGACAGGCGAACACGAGGCGCAACTAAAATGGCGACCGTTAGTGCACCAGGCGAGATATCTGAACGCCACACAGTCATGCCAGACTATGAAGCCAAACTCACTGCTCTCTTTGACGCCTTCTGGGCACAGCTGGAGCACCGGGCAAGGCTGAATAACCAGAGCAAATGCCAGAGCAAAGAACAATTTAAGCAACACAACCGCCAACGCATTATTCCTAAACAGCTCAGGGCCCCAAGATGGCGCCGCAGGAGGAGAAATCCTCTGCCTGCAGGTAAACTCATGGGAGGAAAACCAGTATCGGAGCACAGCCACAGAGTGCTGGGGACCCCTCGTGCTCCCAAGAGCTCTCCCCACTCTTCTTCCGAGCAGGGAGCCCACCTGAGGGTTACTCCTCACCGCCACCCATACACCCAGGGGAACAACCGGAATCCGGCGAAACCTTGGGCCCACGACCCTGGAGATGGGATCAATGGAGTTGTGGAAAGGGCCTCCGCTAAGGCCTCGGGCCGAAGACACAGGATACTCAAGTGAAATGGAACTGGGAGGTGCACCAGGGGAACCACAACTCAGAGGGCCAAGTACCCGACGGGTCAAAACACCCACCCTAGAGAAACAGACCCAAGCCTCAATGGAGCGACGGACCAAGGAGGCAGCCCCCCACAACCAAGTGGACTAGACACCACATACTACAGCACAACTCCTCCATGTGGGGTGGGCTGAATAACTGCATGGACGCTTGCTGCACTCGATGCCTTGGACTGCTCCAAGTAACCGAGAGAGACACACTGTCATACCCTGAGGGTTTTACTCATAAGGTTTCTTTTCACACGCTCCGTAATGTGTTTTTTTTTTTTTACAGTTAATACTCTATGAATGTCGCCTAACAGATAGATGTATACTATGTCGCCAGCTTGCCTTAGCAACTTATATTGTACTTTTTACATCTTATTCTCAATACTGTGCGCCTCTTAGTAACCAAGACGCAACGGTTCAGCATGTCTAGCATCTAAACTCTACTTAACCGTTAGTGCAACTTAAGTAACTATGCAATGCCTGTTCCTTGATATACCTTATAACACGACAACTAGCCTTACTGCACTTGAGCGGGCATGTATGTATACTGACACAAGCCTGATGTTCTAACATGCCTTACCATCCCTGACATGCTGAATCAGCCTGTAATACGTTTATCTGTATAAGCTTACAACTATGCAACCATTTTTTATTTTTGTTTTTAGGCTGCGCTACTTAACTAGCATGTTACCAACCGGATAATGTGATCCATAGCTTGTATTTTCAAAATAATGAGCCGAGTTAAACATCAGGCTAGGAAACTGTTTCAGTATATCTTGAACCTTGATGTTTAATCTACTCTGGGCGTAGACAGCTCTGGCGTGAGGTCGCTACACATGTATGTCTGCCCTTTTTCTACATGTAGAATATTGTCCGAGCCTAGCATGTTAATATACAGACCCCTTTGGTATAGCATATGGTTTAACTATATTAACACACACGGTAGATACCTCTGCTTGTTTAACAGTTAGTTTCTCCGCTTGATGCGCCTTTAATTAACATGACCCTATGAACCATAGCTTGTATCTTCAATAAATAGTTTAACAACCATAAAAAATGTTTTTAAAAATGAGGCATCGCTACTTTGGAAATGTACATTAACATTGCTAAACGTTGTATCAACCCTATGCTGTAACTCTCGTACTTTTCCCTTGTTTTTCTTCTGTACCCCATCTTATATGCCTTTAATAAAAGAAAGATTGACAAAAAAAAAAAAAATGATAAAGAAAAATAAATAAAGTAAAGTTCGACGCACGTTTCGGCGTTTCAGCATGCCGTCGTCAGGAGTAATAAGCTTTGGGATCTCCCTGTATCGATTTAAATACCTGTTGTAGCAATCAACTTCTTAAGTGGTGAATGCTGTGTGTGTCACGTATGTATTTCCCTGCCGTATTTCCTGGCTGTTGATTGGTCTACAGCCTCTCAGGACCACCCTGTATCACTAACGTCATGTGACGTATGATTGTGACGTGATCGAGGAGGCATGGTGGCAGGATACGTTCATTGGGCCATACGCATGTGGGGGAAAAGGGAGCCTGTAAAGTGGGAGTGGTTAATCCGCATCATCAAGTGACGACTATGTCATATGAGCGAAAACCTCCCACTACTGAAAAGCTAAATGAATACCGCGATCCTTGATTGATTGGGGCATTCACCTACCCGATCATCATCATCTGATAAACGGAGATGATGATAGGGGAATACAGGTTACGATACCATATCGATACAGTGACAAGGAGTATCGTTATGGAAACAAACTTACAGTTACTACTGTGCACAGATCGTTTGTCCAGTAAGGCAACCAGCCATCCAAACACTAAATAAGTTAATTATAATGTAACTATGTATCTCTCTTTGTCCAATGTGGTCAGTTCATGTGTGGAGACTGAGGAAGATGGCAATGCTTCAATCAGATCCTATTAGGTCAATATGATCCCTTAACTTTTTTCTAGCCTCTTATTCAGTATTATCGGTACAAGGGAGTGAAAAAATTATGTAACAGTGATATATACATTAAAAACGAACCATTTACATTATTTACAAGTATAGTGCCTTCTATCCAGATAAGGACTTAATAGGGGTCTCCCTACTATTTAATTACATATAGTATAGAGAGAAATTAGAGAAGGGCAGCAAATGAGAAGCCCTCATTTAAATCCAATAGGATTCACGCTGTCTAAATTTCTTATCCCAATCCCCCTTCTGTTGGGTTTGTGGGATGTGTTCTATTCCCATAAACCTTAATTTATTGGAGGAATTTGAGTGATGAATTTTCAGATGACTTGAGATTGGAATTTCTAAGGGTCTTCTGACCGAATTGACATGTTCCCTAATCCTTAGTTTAAAGGGTCTAAAGGTTTTCCCCACATACTTAATGCCACACGAGCAGGTAAGTAAATAAATGACACCCTCTGTTCTGCAATTAAAGAATGAGCGGACCGAGAAAATTTCTCTGTTATTACTATCTGTAAACACTTTAGAGTTTTTGTCAATAAATTCGCATGCGCTGCAATGTCCGCGTTGTATGTCCCCTTGGGTAAGTAATTATTAGTGCCTCTCTTAAGAGGGGCTAAATGACTTTGTACCAAAGTATCTCGTAGGTCTTTACCTCTCAGTGCAGTCACAGAGGGAAATGTGGTAATTACCTGCTTGATTTGTGGATCAGACGTCAAAATCGGCCAATAGCGCCTCAGTGTGCCCATCATGAAATCCCAACCTGCATCATATGTGGCAATGCAGCGGATCAAGTTTTATCCTGTACTCGTGCATTGTCATCAGTGAGGAGTAAATCATGTTCAGTACCAATGGCTCTGGCATATGCTCTAAGTAGGACCCTATTCGGATAGCCCTTCTCCTTGAAAGCTTGCCTAAGGTCCCAGGCTTTAATTTTTAAATCTTCTGTAGAAGAGCAATTGCGCCTCAATCTTAAATATTGGCCTAAGAGTCTGGGGATGATAACTATGCCAATTTAAAAGGCTATTAATGACAGTTTGTTTCTTAAAGAAGGTAGTTGAAGCTCCTCCTCCAGATTGTATTGTTATAGTTATGTCTAGGAAATTGAGTTGTTTACCACCAATCTCACTAGTGAATCTCAGATTAAGGTCATTCATGTTGAGAAGTCTTTCAAAGTCGTTATTGCACCCTGTCCAGACAATCAGTACATCGTCTATGTACCGTTTCCAACATGATATCATCCCTATATAGTGGCTTAGATGTGAGGCCGATTTGATATGGTTTTCCCAAGTGCCCAAGTAAAGATTTGCGTAAGAGGGAGCGCAAGATGTTCCCATCGCTGTCCCTCTTACTTGTTGGTAAATGGTACCATTAAATAGGAAGATATTTTTAGTAAGAACTTTAGTAAGAGTATATTGGAGACAAAATCTATATAGGCATCTGGGGATTGTAGCTCTTATTCAAGGATGGTTTTAATGTTATTAATTCCCTGTGTATGAGGTATAGAGCTATATAATGACTCTACATCCAGACTGCATAATGATGCTCGCTCTGGTATGGAGATGTCCCTCAGGAAGTTTAACATCTGTTTTGTGTTCCTTATATACAATGGTAACTTTGAGACAATAGGGGACAAGATCTTGTCCAGATATATACTCAGGTTCTGAGTCAAATTCCCACACCCCGACACAATCGGTCTACCTGACGGGTTGTCCAAGGATTTATGGACTTTGGGTAGACTATAACAGGTTGAAAGTATTGGCTGCTTAACCAGCATGAACTCAAATTCATTTTTGGTGATGAGGATTTCTGTTAGGGCCTGACTCAACATAGTCTTGATCTCAGCAAGATATTATATATCCCTGTCGTTCAATAGATGTTGTACCATCTGTAATTGGAATGGTCCATGAGCACTATGTTGCCACCCTTATCTGATGGTTTAATCACCAATTGATCATTCTCCTTTAATTGTTTCAATGCTATTTTTTCTTTTCTAGTGAGATTGCCACTAGGTTCAATGCTCAAGGTTCCTAATTCAGCCTTTTCAATTTCCCTGCACACTATGTCCAGAAAGATTTCAATATTCTTAGTCTTTCAGATGGGGTGTAAACCGATTCTTAGGTGCAAGTTGGGTAGTCGGGATATTGATATCAGTGGAGTTATTAGAGTCAAGAAGTTCGACTAGAGTCTCTAAACAATCCATGTCCTTAATTGTTAACCCCAAACTTGATGCTTTCAATTCTTTCCTATGTGTATGATACTTATGTAGGGCTAGCTTACGGGCGAACAAGTGCAAGTCCTTAGTCCAGAAAAATTTGTTAAAACACGCAGCCTCACATGCAGCCTAGACTTGTATCCCAGTTAGAGGACCTATCAGGCAGTTTTTCTCAGCTGGATAGTGATTTTGGTTTTTGGATGTGTAACTACACATTCCTCTTATCACCTCAGTCTCCCTATTTTTTCCTGTCCTATTTTACTCTGTCTTCCCTTAGGATTATTAAAGGTAGGGATCCCTCCCCCATTCTATTTCTTACAATTATAATTATTGATATAATGCCAAAATATTCTGCAGTGCTATACAATAGGTAAAACCAAACAAACCATTCTCACAAAATACGTTTGACATACAGTAACAGTAGGTGAAGAGGGCCATTCTCCAAATGAGCTTACAATCTAAAAGGACAAAAACACAGAGTGAATCAAATCAACATTTGGAAGGACAGAGTGTTGGAAGGTTGTTGAAGGGATGAAGAGTTAAGGGACGAGGTGATAGGCTTCTCTACAGCGCTGTGTTTATAAAGCGTTTTCGAAGGACTGAAGTAGAGAGTAGAATGTGGCAAGGAAGGGCATTCCATACAGAGGGGACAGTCAAGGAAAAGTCCAACAGACGAGAGTCAGGCTTACAAGTCCCAGAACGTAACATAATCTCCTGGGCTGGTGATTCCTGGCACCCATGTGGTCACTTTGAAGCTGTACAAACAAACATTGCAAACCTTAAACTGCAT